ACAGTAGTTTGCCAAAGTCATTAAATGTCGTGGTATAAACAGGAAAATTAATTTTGCGGAAAATAACTGCACGTGGCGTCCCCCGGGTGTTACTGCAGTAAACTACGTACAATAATTTAAAAAATATAAGTTGGCTGAATAATTACTACTTACAAGCATAAAAACTCTGAATAGAGATAAAGGCTATATTACAGGTCACAGGTCTAATGTTAAATACAAATGTGCTTAAGGCAGGCGGGTGCAAAAAACGGCAAATTAATACAGAATAAATACATATGCAAAATTTCAGTATCTTTAGATTGTCTTTAAACATTTTAAACAACATTAAACCTATCGGACATAGACAAAGATGAGAACGGTAGGAAACTCAATCAATCAAGCGATGTATCAATTTGGCGCCGGCGTACAGAGACCCGTGCAGTGGCCTCCAGACATGCGTCACTTACAATTTATATGCTTGGACCCCCGAAAATTGTCGCCTTTTTGCTGCTGCTCGACCAATCTTACCTCCTACTCGTACAAACAACTGGAACGCGAACCTTCGCATTCGCCGTTCAAAATACATAAAACTCCTACTTGCTAATACAAGTAGGTAGTATGTGTGTGTATAAAGTGTGGATAAAATGTCCCACTGGAAAATGGCAATAGCTGGTATTAGGCACTCACCTGACTTATTGCCCAGACTGAAGTCACCGGACAAAACTGTGTCACTGAAAATGAAAAAAAAGCACATAGAGGAGACAGCAGGAGAGGAGAATGCCTGGGCCTCGCTCCCACCTATGCATACCAAATAGGCGTCGGTGTTAATACGTTAACCAGCCAGTCTTTATTATTGAAAAACTAACGTAGGTAGAATTTGCCAATAGTCTTTATAAAGAAGGCGCGAAGCTATCCCATCAGCTGACAACGTCCAAAACACCGAATATTAGCAGGTGACGATTTACAAGCACGTTAGATTTATTGCAGAAAGAGGACACGGTTGATTTGTCCCACTCTCCTCTCTTCCGTATTATTTATTACTGGCAAGTACCAGCCAAGTAATAAGTGACGCAGAATAAAACCCAACTGAAACACAAACCACACATATGTTTTGGTCATATTATCGATTATCGTTGCTGCTCAATTAATAGGCAGGAATCCAAATGATCGCCAGAATTCTGTAATACGGAACTAGTGGGTAGGATAATTTGTTCTGATTTAAATTTATTATTTAATCTTTTTTACTATTTTCATTTACTTTTCAATTACTGCATGCCTCTTCGTTGCGAGATACAAGCCTTTTATAATTAATATGTGCGAAAATTCGAGGTCCCGATATAATATTCCCTTTATCATCCCCGGAAGAGGAAGAAGGGACAATTTTTTGGACCAAGTTGTATTTTAGCTGACGCTTCAAAAGCATGCTCGCTTCCATCGTCAGAGCGTGATGACTGTTCTCCTGCTGGTTTATAGTTGGTGCGTCCAACCACTAGCCGTGCCTGATGCCAGCGTGTCAATCAGTTGTACCGATCGATTTCTGGTGGTTGTTTGAATTGTTTGCGCCCTGGCGGGACCTCCATAAGGGGTGTCAGGTCGTTTGTGTTCTTCCTTAGCGTTTTCACCATCTTTGATCGTGGCTGCCGAATGTCAGCCCTGCGTATCTTCCTATGCCCGATCTATTGAAGAATTCTGAGTAGATGCTAGCCTTTTGCGGAGCGCTTGAGAGGCGGGGTGAAGGTCTACGGCTCTGTTTAGTGTGCCAGTCGAGGACTATCTTTCGAGCAGCAATCTGGCCATCTTGTCATTGGCTCGGCCTATTACCCTTTTTTCTCAAAGGCGAACGTGTGGTCCTTCAGCTGTAAGTGGTAATAGACCATAGACAGCTTATCCTTGCGGTTGATTGCGAGATGATGCTCATGCAACCTCGTGCCAAGGTGTCTGCCCGTTTCATCAACATACCTCGCATTGCAGTCTTGGCATGGTATACTGAAGAAGAGAGCTGATTGTTCTGTCAACGGTAGCGGGTCTTCGAGTATCATGATCTGCTGTCTGATGGTTGACTCCGGCCTATGAGCCACACCGATGCCG